AAGAATGGTTATTGGGTTTACATTATGGTTTACACAGACAAACAAATTTCTTGCAATTCAGTAACAGCATCTCTGTCTGTGTCTAACAAAACTCGATTTTTCTTCCGTTTTTTTTTTATTGAAAGTCGCAATTGAAAAAAACGGAATCTAAATCGCTACACAAATTTACATATCATAGGCGTCGGAACCGGGGGGGGGGGGGGGGGGGGGGGGCTAGGGCCTCTTTTTTGCAAAGATAACCATGATATAGACAATGAACATAGGAGCGTAGGTAGGTATAGAAAGAATTATATAAATTGTACTAAGAGAAGTTTAACCCTCTCCCTCCCGAAATAGGATTTTCGTGAAAGAACGATAAATGGACGAATTCATGATATAAATCATGAAAGAAATACTGTTTCAAAAAGCAAAAACATAAATATAATTTTCTTAAAGACATATCATTGAAATTGGGGAAAAAATTGTCCACAACTCTTGTATCGATTACTTTTTAAAAACAATTTTAATATTCCATTGTTCCGTAGTATAGACACAAATGTATTCTTTATGAAGTCTCACATATCCAAAATTAAGTTTAAATTTCGGTAAAAATATCCTAACAAAGTTAAGGTTACGGAAGTTAATTCTCCAACTTTATATCAAAAGTTAAAATTCTCTGCAATAGTTTAAATCAAAGCTTGTTTTAGGATATAAAACAAAAGTATGAAGAATTTAGCTCCGCAAAGAATGAAAAAAATTATATCTGTCATGCAAAATCCTTCCTAAATTACCATTTCAGAAGAAAATGTTTTTCTCCAATTCAATCTGTTATATCTAAAAAGGCATTGTCTTAAAAATAAATAGCTGACTCGCAACTAGTAGTAAGGATATAAGGTTTTTTTTTTGGTAAATTTCAGTTTTTTTTTAAACCTGCAAATAATCCGTCCGTGAAATTTAGAGCAAACTAAGTACTGAAGTTAATTGATTTTTAGCGATATGCTACGATTACTTATGAAAGAAGATCCATGCATTTTTGTTTCGAGAAGAGGTTGGATTTTATTTTTTTTATTCAGGGAAAAATAAAACTTATTTAACATTCATCGCAATGTTTTTACGGCTGATAATCCCGTCTTGAAATTTGTAAATAAACGAAGCGGCATTAAGATTTGCAGTTGAATACGTTTTCAACATTAGACCTTCATCATGTTCATATCTAAACTTTAACTACATATATATCGGTAAATATAAAAAAAAAAAAATAATAATAATAAAAGACATGCGTGTATGTTATATTTTAAAGCTGGATTCGATCTTAAAATTTATAGTTAAGATATTATAACGGCAAATCTGTAAGTGAAATGAAAAGAAGATATATTGCCCATGTTTGTTTTTGTAGAATGACTGTTCCGTGCTATGTCTCTCCCTGTGTATAACAACCATGGTAACAGAAAGGGAAATAATTCTAACGAAAATAAGTTTCCCGATTTTCGAAAATGAAATATCACAGTGTATATTCATTATTTTATTTCCATGTTCCTTTGCATTGATTTTATATTAGATAAAGATAAAGGTAAGAAAAATAATCGCGTCATTTAAATGCAGTTTGTGCGTTAGCAAAAATATATCTTTAATCGAAATTTTAACTCATAATATGTTTCGTCGTTGTGACAGCTTTTCCTTTCAAAGTACATTTACAATACCAGCCTAAGGACTCGAAAAAAGATTTATAACCTTGTATTTGTTTTTAACTTTTTATGACAAATCCGAAAAGTAAGAGAATGGTAACGACAATACCTGATTACTTGATTAATTATTCCTACTACATGTAGGAATGACACAAAATTCGACAGGGATTTCTGAAACAGTGGGTGCGCCAAATCGGAGCGTTGGGTCAAGAACTAGCACTTTAATGCTAAAGCTAATGAAAATTCCCTTTATTACATGTTTATGACTCAAAACGTTTCGTATATTAACTCTTCTTTATAAAGAAAAAATCCTTTCAAAAATAAATCTGTTATATATATTTTAAAAATCGATTCATTTTACATCGATCTTATGAAGGATTTCATTGTATACACGTAAAACGTTAGATGACGTCATAGTGCTTAATTTTTTTATATTCGAAAAAGTTCCAATATTCAACAATAAATATTTCTGTAACGGATGCTCGTACCTTTCAATGTCCAATAAAGAAAATGTAGGGAAAATTCCCCGCTTTTAGGATATGGCATTCATTTTTTTATCCTGTGTTATAAGTGAGATACAGCCTACAGAATATAGCACAAAATCACTCATTTATGCGTAATTTTACTGACTTCCTGCAATTATATTCAATGTTCAATTCAAGTTTACAATAATTTCTTAACATCGCAGAGAAAAACTGATTGTAGAAAAATTGTTGTGTTTCTTCTCTAGTTTCAGAAAATATCAACTGTTTTGTTGTATCCCAATTATTTACAAAACGCCATCAGTTGAATTATCGTGATGCTGAAAATGCGTCAAAAGGCACATTTGGCCGTTTAGGGGATAATGGGTACCAAAAATGAGTACCCTCCTTGGGGACAAGACTTACAACAACTAATGTTCTGTTTGCCAAAATTTCACAAGTTATCACTGAGGATCGATGTTTGATTGACTTTAAAGCAAAAAGCAAATGTGATATATATCATTTGGGGGTAGTTCACAATGTCTTAAAGAAATATTTAACAGTAAAAAAAAATTGTTACTCAATATCAAACCTATGCTTTGAAAGAAGAGTTTTAACGACAGTCAGTGTAAGAATAAACAATTATTTTAAAAAATCAAAAATTGTAGCTTTCTTCCTTTGTCTGAAATTCAAACAGATAATGAAACTTGAATTAATTGCCTTAAATCCTAAAAAACAAATTAACAATGAGATGCACTTTACAAAAACAGGAAAGGTCTTAGAAGAGCAAAGACAGTTTTATGTGCAATTTTCCTTAATATAAGTGGTCCTGTTCAAATCTTATTTGGGGAGGTAGGTCAATTTCTAGGGGGGTCTAGAAAGTAAAATGTATGACAAAAATCGAAAGGTAAGAGAAAATGACGGATCCAAAATCAGGAATTAACTACAATAATTTCTTCATGACATCGTCCAAACTCACATGCCCGGAAGTATAAAAGAGTTTTGGGAATAAAGAGAGCGTTAATGTTTTGTCACACCAACAATTTTTGCCTTATCCTTCATCTTTTGACTTGATCCATATTCCAAACTAGAAAAACAATTGTAAGAAAGACGAAACAAGTCCAGGATTTCATAGGATCTTCCATATTCCAGTAAGGAAGGCCATGTTCTAACATGTGTTCTAAAACAATAAGAAGTTTAGATTAAATATGTTTCGGGCATAAATTTTAATTAAAAAATAATATTAAAGTGTAATCATTAAGACCAAGTCATTGAAAAACATTTTTTGTCTTTTTCCGAGCACCGAGGACATTTTTTATTGAAGAGCCCCCAGAAGAGCACTTATATACATAATACTACACCGATATTTTGACGTAGGCCCTTTTTAGAAAATAATTGTGTTTATTAATTAGTATTTGTATGCAGTACTCCTTCAAGTACGTCCTTACGCTTCGCGGCGCCAAGTCAAAAATATCTCGTCGTGAATCTCTAGCATGCTGGAGTAATGTTTTTCAGGTGCACTAAAAACCCGAATCCTTCGATACAGAAAATGTTGTCTCTTCGTACATTGTATTTCCTTGTTGATATTCTGGTAAGTTTTTATAAGTACGAGGGTTGTCCCGTAAAATCGTGGAAAGTGCGTTTTTCTCGAAAAGTAATGGGCGCACTAAGCTGAAAATTTCAGTAAATGTTTATTTATCATATTAAAGTGCATGATAATTATTTTGATAAAACATAGGCAAAAATAAAGATTTTATTATGCTTGAATATGCACGAGGTATTGTCGCGCACGGCGCATGGTCAAAAAACCAAGGGTTTATTAAAGAATACACAAGTTTGAATTCAAAAAAAAATTTTTAAATACGTAAGATTTGGATTAAAATTATCATAATTGAATTCCACAATCAATTTTGTAGTCTTTGTAAAAATTTTTAAGGTATTTGCTTAATTTTTGGCAGTTTCTCGAGCATTCGAAATGGGAAAGTGGTAAACACAAACACGAAAAATGTCGACGTTTTATGACGTTACGGCGCACCGGAGAACAGTTCAGTTTTATTTCTATGTTGTAATGACACCTTTAGAGACTTGAAATGACCATAGAAGAAAAAAGATTATAAAAATATCACCATATCTTAAGTATACAAATGAAATAGGAGTTTTCTTAGCGAATGTTTTTTCTGATCGAGTCCCTGGAGAGTACAAAACATATACGGACAAACTCCCAATGTAATAGCAAAGGACGCTGTCACAGTAGACCGCCGATATGAGATTTTCTTTTAGTTGAATGATGATGAGCATATTGTCCGTAACTTACTAATAAATCTTCAGAAGATCTCATGAGGGTGTCAATTGGTTCTTCGGCTGTTTATGGACACTAAAGATTGTGTATCAATGAAATTCCTACATTTAGGTCGGACTCATCCAACTTCATTTTCAGCACAGATAAAATGTGACGCTGTTTTAGACACTAATCCATGCGCCGTGAGGTGATACAATACATGGCTTAAAATCTAATAATTTGTTTATTTATGCATATATTTATCTGAAATTTGCATGCTGTGTATTTTAACTATATTACTAAAATATGTACTAAATAATAGTGAAAATTTCAGAACGCAGTGATGTTTATTTTTCACACTATACAACTTGTCCACGATTTTACGGGACAACCCTCGTAAATATTAAAATAATCTTGATGATATTGAACGTACGTACACATTGTATTGTACATACAACACTTTGCAAGAAAAAAGATGGGACATGAGAGAGTTCAACGAACGATAAAACATGCTACAATGTAAGCATGTTGGGATTTCCTTTTATTTCAAAGCAAATACAGTATCAGATGCGTAAAAGAAAGAGAAAATTCTATAAGTATAAGGAACATGCATAAATTCTTATTTTATTGATATGAGCGATATACATGTACTAGTATTTGCATCATATAGACTCCTGTTTATGTCTTTCGTTTAGATTCGTATGTTAAATTTGGTTAGGATATTTCTTTTAAAATATTCGAGATTTCATACAAATACCAGGATTTTATATTTGAAGTAAAAAAAAATGTATTATCTGAACCGCTTCAAAGGGAAACTACTTGAACATGTATAATGATATAACAGATTGTGCATTAAATAAAGAAATTATGAAAATAAAATACAACCGGTTTTGCGCATATCGGCAGGTTAGTTCTCAGTCATATTATTTCCTTAAACATTTCAGTGGTGATTCGGCACTTTCGGAACTATGGATAAATCAAGAATCCAGAAAATGTCGTTCGGCCATATACATCGTTACTGTACATGGACCCTTGACCATCATATTTAGAAACAATCTCTACTTCATCTCCAGCTGTCAGATTCAAAATCACAAATCCGGTAGCAGTACCTTGATTAGTTTTCATCTCTGTGTCTGCAGCGATGGAGCCTTTTATAATACCATTTTGTTTTAAAAGTGCTCCCATCTCGCCATATTGTCCAGATTCACCAAAAATGTGTCTTCCAGCTGCATGCAATGTCCAAGAAAAGGCAAAGACGCCGGGTGTTGGGGCGATGAATGCTCCAGTACTTTCATTATATCCATTTCCAATATTTGTAACAACAGTATCAAAGATGAATGTTTTACCTTTCGGTAAAGATTTGAAATCGGCGGAATAATACGCATAAAAAGCACATTGTGTTTTCTGACCAAGACATTGCGTTTTCCCTGAGCAAACTGAAATAAGAAAAAGAATATTTATAAAAGGCAACTAACGAATTGTACGAGTATATTGTATTAGTAACAAGCCATTCGTACGTACCTTTTCTTTCATTCCAGATCGTCTCAAGAAGAGTTAATCGATTTTTAAGCTCCTGGTTATCTCTTATAAATTCGTCACGTTGTTCCAGCATAAGATTGCGCAAGTCTTCAAATTTGCTTTAGTAGTCAACTCCCGATCTACACTTGTCCAATATCGATTCCTGGGCATTTATTCGTTGTGAGTTTGCGGACCAAAGGAATAAAACAAAAATCAGTGCTACCAAAGAAGAAACCATGGTCTAGCTTTGTAATATTTCCTTGTTATTTAATTCTCACAACTAACGATTTTATTTTTGATATGAAAGGTTACAGCGTATATGCGTTCAATTCATGTTTAATTGTTTTAGTTCATTTATATGTATATAAATAACATATCTTGCATATTTAAGTGGTATTCAAGTGCGTTCCCTCTGCTGTTGTCCTGCATTACACCAAGTTTTTCGCTTTGCCGATTAAGACTACATTTAGCAATTTATTTATGCAACTCATGGACCCTTTCCACCAAAAGGTCTTGCACAGCTGGATAACAATGTGAGTCTCTGATAAATGATAGTCAATATTGTTAGCCTTAATAATTGTTTTTATTTTAGTCTAATAATAATAAGTTTTAACAGATGAAAAACATTAAATAAATGTTATCTTTTATGGTATGAACTTAAAAGAAATGTTTGAAGAACTATAAACTGACAAGGGAAACCAAGCAAACTGATGTTTACCTTCCGTTATCCATAATTTTTTATCCATAGATAAGTGTCTTGCAGTTGCTTTATTTTTGAATCATTATATACATTATTTTCCCGTTTGTACAAAGAGCACACGGCGGGTGTAACTGGTCGGCAGGAGATGCTCACTCCTCCATAGCACTTTATGCCACCTCTGTTCTAAAGGTTCATGATTGCTCTCCTCCTAATTTGTATTGTATGAATGAACTTTTGAGCTTGAAAACTAGCTGTTCTTTATCTGCATATTTCATTATAGACATAATGGTTAGGTAAAAACTAATGCATTAATGTATAAAAAGCATTCACTTATGTTATTTAAAATAGAAACTTAGGTGGCACGGAGATCAGATTAGGAACACTTGAATCAATCTATTCCAAATATTTCCAACATCCCATTTATTTAAAACAAAGTGCAATTATAATATTTAAAAATTTCAAGTTAAACTTAGGAAATGGACTAAATACTCTACTTAATGGACATTGTCGGTTGGGTGAACTTCTACAGCTGTCAGCGACTATGGGTAAAGAAGTGTGGAAACAATATGTTATGTCAATATGAATTAACTAATACAAACAAATGATATAATCTAATCAATCAAAAAGGTTATTAGATACATTCGATTCAGCATTTTTTAATGGTTCAAAACAAAAAAAAAGTATTCCATACAATATCAATTAAAAAATACCAAATGCCAAAAACGGAATACTACTAAATGATATAAATATATTCTTTATACATGAACCACAGTATTTCTGAACCCTTGAAAATAATATAAATAATCTTGCAAGGTTATCAACATTGGCTCAGGCTAGTTCGAAAGAGAAAGTTTGCCTCTAAATAATCTGTGGTTATAAATCTTGGCTTCAAATTCTGAAGTTGAAGTTTGAAGTTGAGTACATCCTCGAAATGTAGGTTTTGAAACTTACGAGAAGAAAAAAAAAACCACATGTGATGCTGAAAGCTGGAGTGAGCTTTACTCCGATAAATGAAATACTGGGAACGCATTCCACAAAATTTTCGAGACGTTAGGAACGAATTGTTACGAATGTCATATGAAATTCATGATTTTATGAACCTAAATGGGGGCAGTGGATCCCCCCTCCTTATATATTATGAAATATTTGGTCCCAAATTTAACGCACTTTGAAAAAAAATCAAAGTGCATAATTTTTAAAGTGCGTTGAAACAGTGTGCCCTTAGATGGTTTAGTCGGAATTACATTGTATTCCGTAGTAATGCTCATTATAAACCATTGGAGGGCTAGAAGCCTTGACGCACATATTACTTCATGACAAAGCATATGCTTAGGCTCCTGGTTCACTAATGGCAAAACCAATAAAAGACGATGCGTTTTGTTACGTTATTATTTAAACAATTTGAGCACTTATACTCAACATACGATTTCATTTTGTAATATTTATAGAATTGTCTTAATTGAAGCGAGAGCTGCGTTATTAGAAGGATATTTTATATGACCCGAAGAGCAGGGTCATTACAGAAAGACCATTTCTTTGTCAACCAACTTGAAAATATTCTGCATGCAATAAACAGTTGAATGTAGTTATCTCTTTTTTGTGCTTCTACCCGATATAAAGTTGGACACATTTTTTGGCAACTTTGACTTTTTTGTCGGTTGATTTATTACGCGTTCCTGTTTCTTTTGTTCTCAAAAAAAATCTTCTTGGTGTGACATTCAGATCATGATATACTAGCAGTCTGAAAAGATGAATACTTCTGAACGTTTGGATATTCATTTTGGTTTTCCTTGCAAAAAGATTGGCCTGTGCGGAGCAGTGGTTAGAGTGTCTGCTCTAGATTCGTGAAGTAAGGGGTTGTTTCTTACGTCACGGGTCCAAATCCCACTGTGAAGGACTGTCCTTCAGATGAGACCGTATAAACTGCAGTCCTGTGTCGCAGTAGGTGCAGGAACGATAAAGATCCCTCCCCGATCAATGGCCCTAAGTGCTGAGAATAGAGCAAAATTTGCAGCTCTCCAACGGCAAGTGGTAGCGTCTCCATACTGGTATATAAGTATGAAAAATTATCGAGAGGGACGATAAACATAATACAATCAATCACTACTTGCAAAAAAAAATGATACAAGATGAGTAGTATAGAAGGCATCTAGCATCTTTAAATTTCCTCAATTATTGTTGAGGGATTGGTCTTTTTTGAAAAAAGCGACTATCAATATTTTCACAATTTGCTTCTAACCTTAAAGGCTGTAAATTACCTATTGTAAAAAGTTTGAATCCCCTCCCAAGTCAGGATGGAAACCTCTAAGAATTTTTATTGAATTTAAAAAGTCTCAACAATATATAGATATGAACTCCTTATGCAGGTGATGAGGGTATAATGCCGCATAAGTCAGGAAAGTTGACGACTGAAAAAGTTAAGTCATCACGTTTATCATCGAATTTTGTCGTTATATTACCATTAACGTCTTTCACTTTTTATTTTTAGATACAAATTTGTTTTATGTACAAGTATTTTAAGCGGTTGTGAACGTAACCAAGAATGTTGGTCTGATAAAAAATTGAAAGTCAGAGATACACACACATTAAAAGATTATAATGTACTTTGTAGTATAATTGCTAAAATAAAAATCTGTCCCTTTTATCCATGAGTACATGTTCTAAACTACGTATTATTTGGCAATAATGATATCAAATTTATTTCGCATTTGTTCATGAAGTATAGTCTACATTCATGTGTCAGTCTCTGGAATCTGTAACCACTCATTCTATGTTTGCTATAACTAACTTACATCAACAGTTGCTTGTTTGACTTGTAACCTATTGGCACCATGATGCACTTTTCTGCGAGTGTTCTATATAGATATATGTTCACATGACTTATTCGTCACCTCTAATAGTAGAAACGTATTACTTTTTCAGGATATGCCTAAGACATTCCGCGATTTTTGATTTTAAGTTCAATTTTCATGACTTGCTTTGCCTAATTATAGAATAGAATTCAAATAAAGCTTGTGCATTGCTATTTAAAAGAAAAGAAACACATAATGTGATAGTTAATTTAAGTTTTTTTTTTAATATTTAAAACGTTAATTACTTGTATAAAAAAGAAAAGAAAAAATAAAAAGGAAGAATTTTCTATGTAGTATTTGAAGCTTTAAAAAGTTCAGAGTGCTCATTAAATAATTATTTGCTGATATCTTCAAATTAAAACGATTTGGTGTCATTTAGTTCAAGTGATAGAAAGTAAATGCTTCACTTTATTTTACTTTTGTAAGGGCGTTCCATGGCACAGTGGTTAGAGCATCTACTCTAGGTTTGCTGAGTAAGGAGTCCCTCTTGTGGACGTGGAGACGTGTTCTTGGGATGAGAACTGAATGTCATGTATCATACCAGGCGCTTACACGAAAAAGGACCTGCATTGCTCGATGGCCCCAAGTGCCAAGTATATATATTAATTTTAGACCAAGAACGTAAAGTTGTGGCGTCTCTACTTGAAAAATTCCCAAGAAGACATTAAACAATAAACAAACAAACAAAACTTGCTTTAAAGATGACTTTATTATTGTTTATATATAGATGATTCCTTTTTCGCTAAATATGTTTGTTTTCCTTTTAGAAATTAAACCTCTTTACTGCCTGATTAACTTTATGATCAAAACGTAATAACACATGTAGATTCACATCTGTTGCTACACCTGAAAATTAATTCGTGGATGTGCACAGAGTTTTCAATAACATGCTTTTATTTCGAAGGTCTAGTGTTAAAATCGAATCTTTTGGTTAAAATCTTTGACTGTATTGGTTATGATCGCCATTTGAAATGGTATGAAATTCCTTTATATGTTGAGCCTACACAGCCGTAAGATGTTGCAGTTGGGATATTTATCATTGTCAGATGAAATTTAGTGGGGGCTTGGGATCAGTTCACGTCTATAGTAGAGTCATAGTATATTAGATGACTTTGTGATATTCGTTGATGATCTTTTTAATATGGGCACCAAAGGGCATTAAATCTCTCCATTCCCACCATGTTCACAGACGATGCTCTTGAGACAATAAAATTTGATGACTTAAACTAGGTCAGTATTCATTTATCCGAGTTCAAAACTAATTAATTTTAAATGTATAGGTTCATCAAAATGTTCACAATTGATGCATCTTAGAAGGTAAAAATTGATAGCTGACCCAAAAGAAGTTCTAAGTAATCTTCAAGCACGTAGCAACAGCGGAGGGGAGGAGGGGGTTTTCAACACGAACTTGTAATATTAGAAAAATTTATTGAAATTCCAAATAAGACCCGTCCACTTTTTGCTGAAGCAAAGACAAATAAGAAAAGTGGATGGCTAAAATTTGATACTGAAAAAAGGCTTGTTTCTTTGTTGATTGACCGTTCACGGTAGCTCAGTCGGTAGAGCGCTCGCTCCGTGATCAGGAGGTCGTGAGTTTGTATCTCGGCCGCGACTGACCCAGTAGATAAAAAGGCTAGCAAACTGTTCCTTCGCCATGCGCTCGGAGGCACTTTGAAGTGAAAGTTGCGGGTCCTTCGGATGAGACCTTAAAAACCGGAGCCCCGTATCAG